AAATTAATATGGTCCCAGAAAGATCTTTCTGAAAGTTGATCTGTTCTGGTCTTACCATACATGTGATTGCACCTGTCTGTATGTATACAAACACAGTCACAATTTCCACTGTTACTCACAGCAAATTTCATGAAAGGCCACTTCATAGGAATGATGGAATCAGGCTGACTTTCCCCAAGGAAATAAAGAAAACAATATGTATGGAACCTGGAGATGATGAAATTATTTGCTAATAAATTGAATGAACTGAGGCTGGTTTCTGTGGATATATTTATTACATGTCAGAAAGGTTTGAATATTTAATGAAATCAGAATTCTGTCCATGGGGTGTTTGTGCGCTGTCCCCTTTAAGTAGCCTTACGTGGTTACCCAAGACTTGATAAAAATTGGCAGTGCAGTATTCTCTTTTGAGGCACAATAATTCTATAGAACTTCATCAAAACTTTTCCGTCATAGTACTAGGAGAATGAGTTTTATCCATTTTGTACCTGAAATTACATATTATTAACAGCACATTAGGCAGTTTGTACAAAATTGAACTAATCAGAGAGAAGCATGCAATAGCATTAATTTGGTTTTTTAATTTTAATTTTTTTCTCTTTGCCATTGTGTGGTAATGATTGATGCCAACACTTCCATTAGACGCATAACAGGATGAAAATCTGGGGAGAAAAGATAAATGCACTTGCTTTCTTTTTATGGGTTTCTCTTCTGAATTGCAAAGCAACTGTAAATTTAGCAGCATTTTTTAAAAAAATTATAACGATGCATTAAATCTGTTCATCCAGTAAAGTATTCCTGATAAGGCACAAAAGCTTCAATCCTATTAAGGCAGTTACAGACATTTATAATTATACAGTCTATTAAAGGAACTCCAGTGGGTTCGTTCTGGGCCAGATTAACCATTATGCTAAGTACATTGTCATGCACAACCACATATTCATACACATGCACATAGACCCAGTCATCTCTCTATAGTTAAAAAAATCATTCCAGCATTTTTGTACCATGCCTGATTCCTTCATCATATGACAGAAGATGTCAGACCAAGTTACCACTATACCTTTCAATTGCACGTTACATTAAAGATCTTTGTCGTATTCCTCTTATTATTAAAATCTCTTCCTTCACTGGTTTTGTGCTTTTTTCAAAATTCCATAATGCTCTGTGAGTTAATTGTGCTTTATCAAATACAATACAACCCCAGCACCCACGAGGCTGGTATCCATGGTTTCCTTTATCCACATCTGGCAAAATATGTTTAAGTCCTCCAGTATGACCCTGTGATGTTTTTCATTCAAAAGACCTTGATTTCAGTAGGGTTTGTTGTTATGAGCACTTTTTACTATCAGCACTAAATCTAGGAAGACTTATGGATACAGTGGTTATACTGTATGTCATATTTTATCATAATGAAATGCACATAAAGAGTATAGTCCCTAAGTCCTGTAAGTAGGTTCATATACACTATTTTTCCCGAAAGTTTATTTTATTCCTTTAATGACATATGGCATCCTAGAAAAAACTTGTTGTTAACCCTGACACCAAATGGATTACATGATGTAGCCAGCAACATGGAATGGAAAGGAGAAAAAACAATGGAATTGGTGTAGGCACCCAAAAAAACACAAGTCTGAATCCAGGGTGGCACTATGTGGACAAGGCTGAAAAGGGAGAGAGACTTTCTATTCCAGATCCCAACTTATAGAATTCCCTGCCAGGGAAAGGTAGATTGGCTTTCTCTCTGCCTTGTTTCTTGTTCATACAAGTCTTTGAATACTAACGTCCTGTTGCAGAAAGTATTTTAATTGAGGTGAGTTGTATTTGTAGTTTTATCATAATTGTTTTATTTTAACTGTCTTTTAAAATTGTTTTATATCTATATGATATTTATTCATTCATTCATTTATTTATTTAACAATTCTGTACCTTTCATTGTATTTTTGATTAGAATTTAACCTTTGGTCCTGTGTTGGGAGAAAAGCAGGCTGTAAATTAAAGAAATAATCCAGTCCCTGGAATAATAGCAGTGGGATACATTGGCTTGAGTGTTGGGACCAGATGTTTGGAACTCCTAGATTCAAGTCCTAATCTAGTTGTAAAGACCAGTCGGTGTCTCCCAAAAAACTAAGAATATATTATTCTTTTTTTCTCGGAAGAAGAAGCTAGAAACATACAATATGGAACATTTTTAACACGGGGATGCATGTGGACCGTGGACTGTGCATTTCCCACTTCTGGATCAAAGCATGTTTGTGTGCTTTTTGTAGTTGTACACATTTTAAGCCTTCTATATATTTTTAAAAAATCATGCCCAATTTAGTTGCCTCACCATTGTGTGCCTACCTGGAGCATGGTGCCTTTTGTCTCGTACCAAGTCTTGGTAAGTGTGAAATGGATTGTGTTTTTGACAATCTCAAAATCACCAAAATTCTATACATTCTTCCATTGCAATCACTGTATTGTCCAAAAATTAATTTAGCTTCTCTGTCATATTTATCTCCGTAACCACCACACACACACACACACACACACATGCCTTCACTGCTGTTCTGTCGGGAAGTGTCCACAAAAGGAAGAGGAAGTCTCTCCCCTCCTCTGTTTCTCATCCCTACCATTATGTTGCATGCTGGGCACAAGGAACAACTGGGAAATTTAGACTCAGTATAATTATCTTGAAGGATTATTTGTTTTTGTTCTATAATTATTCTAAAAAGGAGGCAGGGAAGAGCCATGTGTTGTTTCCTTCATTTTTCTTCACTGCTGGAACAGTGAGGAAGGTTTTTGTGTAGTTAGTTCACTGAGATATGAAGAAGTGATCAGACTGAGTTCCGCTGCTGCAAAAATGATCCAAACTGGAGAGTAGTCCTTTCCCCACAAACTAATTTCTGAATCTGTTATTAGAGTTTTCACCAGCAATTACAAGGGGAGAGAGTTTTTGTTCTTACCCGTATCATCACTTTGAAGGAAGTTCCTGTGGCAACCCCCAATTACCCTATATATTGTCAAGGTTATGTTCAAAATTGATGTTTGAAGTTCATCTTTGTAATGAAGGGCTCTTAGTCATAACTTTTCCTAGAATTTCAATTAAAACCATTTTGAATGCCCAGAGCAACATGAGCTGGTGTCCTAACATTGTCTCTGGTCTGAGTGGCAGAACATCACCCTAGCAGCCAATTCCACTGACACTCAAAATGAAACTTTTCAAGTGCATATTCATAATTAAGCTGAGGGTGCAGTATATCATAAGTTAATTATATGCCATTAAAAGACATTTATAGAGCTGTAATATGCATATATGAGATCAATCTAATTGTCATGTAGTTAACTTCAGTTATTTAACCAAATAATGTATTGTGGCATTTTAATTATCAATTCCACATAGGAATTTCTTGTTAAAGCCTCTCCTGTTTCAGAACATCATGCTGAGAACAAATACAGGCATGGTTTAAAATGAGCAGTTGTTGAACGTCAGGTGCTTATTCAGCCAGTTTGAACAGAAGAGAAAGCTCTGTTTAAGTACACCCCTGAAAAGACTAAATTATTTAAGAAATCCTCCCTTATTTATTGGGATCTCTCTATTGTTTGACAAATTTCTAAGAAGTGAGAGGAAGCTTGGCTATTTTGCTTAACAGTGTTAGAATGACAATTTGCATGAAAGGTACATGGGGGAAGTGTTGCTCACCTTTGTCCATCTGTTTCTGCCAACAGCAGATGTGTATGTTTACATTTCATTACAGAAGGGACATGTGCGGTAGTGTGATCATGAAAAGACAAAACAACTTATGAAGAAAGATGTTGGATGACGTCTCAACAACTAGGTGTCTGTAAGGAATGGTAAGAGATGTCAGTGTATTTCACAATCACAGTTATTAATGTTTGCAAGCAGTAGTTGAGTAGGGGCCAGTTCCAACCCACCACTCCACACAAAGGTTCTAGCAGAGAAATAAGGCAGATTTAGTTTCTTTGTGAAAACTTTATGGTATAAAGCAGCTTTATTAGCACATACTAAAGATTTTATAATATCTCATGGTAAAAGACACTAAAACATGGGCTCTTCAACCATGGAGGATAGAGAGACAACTATAGTCTGCTCTCCGACATGGAGGGCAACACAACTCTAAGTAACCCAAGACTAAATGATGCCAGAAGACAGAATGTGTTGGCAAGACCATTGAACAAGAAATTTATTATATGGCTAAATTCTCCGAGCTGAACAAAAAGATCAGAAATCCTATTCTTTCCAAAGTTCTTAGGAAAATCTATACATGTTTTGCTTATCCAAATATATTTTCTTATAAGTTCAGAGACTTTTTATACCAGTTCTTTAGATCAGTTTATTTTAAGCTAGTACAAAGTCAGAAAGAACAAGAATAGTTTGTGTGGGTCCTCATAGACACACTAACTAGCAACTATTGTAGTGAATACAGACACTGCTACTTCTAGTGGTATTTGGGTGTAAATCTTCCACAAAAATCCTAATCTCTAATTTCTCAAGCAGAGGACATACCTTACAGGTAACCCATATACAAACACATGTTAATGTGGAAGAGATAGAAGCAAATGTGAGAAGAGATGTCCTTTCACCTTTTCCTTTCCCCCCTCCTAGATAATTAGTACCCACAAAAGTGTATGAAAGACAGCCTTAATCACCATCTGGGCCTCAAAACCGGTTCTAGGATTCTTGTGTAATTGTCTGACAGTGAAACCACATTCTTCAATGCTGGTTTGAAACTGACTTAACTGGTCAGTGGAGGTGTGCCCATACCCTTTTGACACTGGGATGCAATATGTCTACTGTCTCAATAATACATATACTATGAGATGGGGTGCATGTTAGTGTAGTCTTTCAGACTGAGGTGAAGTCAGGACAAAAAGATAGAAAGAATCTCAGTCTACCTTTGGTCTTACATTAGTTTCTTAAGAGACTTCTACATTAATAGAACCACTGTAGAATGTGATAAAAGGCAAAAGGACTTATCAAGATGGTAGGGGTGTGTGTGTGTGTGTGCACATGCGTGCATAAGAGAGACAGAAAGGTGGTAAATGCCTTTCCACACAGAGACATTTTTCCAGAGAAACACAAACATAAACATAATCCCAGTCAGCAATGGCCATGCACCTGACTGAGCATTGCAAATAATTAATGTAGCTGCTTCGAGTCTCTTTGTGGAGAGAAAAATCAGGGTATTCAACATAATAAACAGAAGAAGAAGAAGAAGAAGAAGAAGAAGAAGAAACAGTAACAACAACAACAGCATGGCCTCCCCTCTCTTTACAGCCTCTTTCCCTCCAAAATAATTAAAAGACTACCTCCAGTACCCGACCCGGGTTGCAGTGCCTGTGTTAGGGACTGGGTAAGGAGAAACAATTAAAAAGTCATTGTTTGGTTTTGGATTGTATGAATGGTCCCATTAGAAATGAGGGCCTGATTCTTGCAGCCCAAGAACAAGCAATCAGAACAAATGCCATCAAACACAGAATTGAAAAGTCGATGACAAATTCCAAGTATAGACTCTGTAAGGAAGCAGATGAAATGATGGATCACATACTCAGCTGCTGAAGAAGATCATGCAGACGGACTACAAGCAGAGGCATAATACTGTTGCTCAGATGATCCACTGGAACTTGTGCCACAAATACTGATGGGATCACATGCCTGAAAAAGTTACAGAAAATGAACACTTAAAACTATTCTGGGAATTCCAATTCAGACTGACAGAGTTTTGGAACACAATACCCCTAACCTTATGATCGTGGAAAAAAACAAAGTATAGATGTCGATGTTGCAATTTCAAGTGACAACAGAATTTACAAGAAGCAACTGGAAAAGCTTACACGATATGAGGATTCAAAGATCTAACTGGAAAGACTCTGGCACAAACCAGTAAAGGTGGTCCCAGTGGTGATTGGCACACTGGGTGCAGTGCCTCAAGACTTTGGCCTGCACTTCAAAACAATTGGCACTGACAAAATTATCATCTGTTAGCTGCAAAAGGCCACCCTACTCGGATCTGCACACATTGTTCACCGATGCATCACACATAATAATAATAATAATAATAATAATAATAATAATAATAATAATAATAGTGTAGCTTTGTTACCAAGGGAAATAACATGAGCCCACAGCTTGAAACTGTGATTTCCTTTTCTGAAACATGTTTTAAATGAAAAAAGTAGATGTACAATAGGGTTGGGAGGAAATTTTAGATGAATGCCTCTTAAAAGAAATACTTCTTTATATAGTATGTACTTGGCCTCAACCATCAGCTATCCCATTTTTAAAACCCGTATTTTTGCAAGATGAACTGAATTCCCCCTTCTTGGTATTAAATAAAACTTGGCACATTTAAACACAACGCTGTTGCTGAGGAAAAGTATCTTATAAAAAAGATAGAAATAGTGTGGAATTGTTTATGCAGGTAAACTTTAATGGTGAAAATACAGCCGCAGTTATTGCTGCAGTAGTTGTTCTATAATTTTCACAGGTCTACTGTTGCTGAGGTTTGCAAGCAATGCAGTAATGCATTTGAAGAAGACTCATTAGATTTCAGTAATAGCCGGGGCCTAAACATTCTCTAGAACCAATCAATTTTTATTACCAAAGCACAAAATAAGAAAACTCAATTTTCCTCTGAAGCCTATATATATATATATATATATATATATATATATATATATATGTATATAATTTTTAATCGAATGAGTGGTTGTTCGTTATGCTTTCATTGCTTTCTTGAAAATGAGAGAAAAACTAATCAAGGAGAGGGGAAAAGAAAACAGCTCTGAGGCACTGTGTGGCTGACCAAAATGGCTGCTTGGGAGTATGATATTCATTAGCTTACTAATACAAGACAGGAAACAAGTCTTAATTAAATAGGATGTAAATAACATAGTTCACTTTGAGAAAGGATGAGGATAAAGATCCTTCTGGCAATGTGCCAGCATGATCTTCAGCATTTGAGTATACTCAGTTTCCTTCTGCAAGGTCAGACCAGTTATTACTCTAAATATGGAACAGTGTGGAATTTTGGTTTTGGGGGAATGCTTTGATGAATAAATGGGTTACCCCCATTGGCAGTTGGTAATGCTAGAGTCAGTGGGGCAGTGATGGGTGCTGAGTGGGAAACCCATGCATTATTCTGTAAATGCTAAAAGCCACTGCACCTCCTACATGAATGTTTGTGCAAAGAGGTTTGAGAGACCTGATTAAAAGTACAACTACTTGTACAGTTGTCCCTGTAGGATTCTTTTCATAATGAAAGTGTAGGGAGCATTCTAGCCTCTTTTGTCAACTCATGGAAAGAACAGCACTTTCTTCTCTTCTACATTCTAAGGAACTCACTAAGAGATAAACTCTTGCATAGCAGCTTCAAATAATAGGGTTGGAAGAGACCACAGGAGCCATCCAATCCAACCCCCTGTCAAGCAGAAATACATAAACAAAGCACTCTGATAGATGGCCATCTAGCCTCTGTTTAAAAACCTCCAGAGGAGACTCCATCACACACATGATGGGACTCAGTAAGAGGAGAGAACATTTGTTGTTGTTTTTACTCAAGGCTTTTGCAAAGTTGAGCCAATGGCTTTCACACACTTAAAGAAAAGAACAATGAGTACCAGCATGTTCTACCTTCTCCATATGATCGAGGTTCTAGATGATGCTGAGAACCTCAAGCATAGTTGAGACTCTTCTCTTGGCTGCCATTCCCTATGTGAGATCAATGATGGATTGAGAAAGCTGGAATACTCCTCTTTCTCATGATTAGTGCACAATGAACCCCAGAATCTGGTTTACATTGTGAGGATCTCATAATGTGCAGCATTCATGTTAGATTATTTTGAAGCTGGAAAATGGGATGCTTGTCTTATGCTTATATGAACTTTTATTTAGCTTGATATTACTTGCTATTGTTAATATTACTCCTTTAAAAAGTCATATGTACATCATTTCTTGTTCCAATGTTAGTGACCATATTTAGAAAACTTTTTTAAATGGAACAGACGGGTAAAAAAACAGCAGTATAGATAACCCACTGTGGTGGCATTGCTTTCCCTCCTCTTTTCCCTATGCTACGTGGAGATAAAATATTGCACTGTTGGCACTGAATGCAGTTAGGAAGAAAACAATTAGGATATGGAATGGCCCTGCAAATGTAAATTAAGATGAGCCAGGGGAAAAATGTTTGCATTAAACTAGAGAAGAAATATGAAACCATTCCTTTGTTTTAACAAGTAATATTCATAACCAACAGAATTTTATTTTATTACACTTACAGTTCTTTTAACCATCTAGAACAATTCACAATATGAATTTATGACCAGGTCTTCGGCAGAGGAGATTAAAGACTTTGTAAAAACTACAATTCTCATGATTCCATAGCATTATGTCAGGGCAATTGAAGTGGTAACCAACTGCATTATTTCTATAGTATAGATGCACCCCAAATTATTAGCTTAGAACCTTTTCAAAACTGGGTAAATGAATTAAAGGTAATTGTAGCTAATTCATCTGCTACAAATAAATTTGTTGATTTTTAAGCTCATACAGTTGCCATATAATGCTACAGGGCTCTTATTGTTTGCTCAAATTTGTTTGTTTGTTTGTTTGTTTGTTTAAAGTATTTCTACCTTGCCCTTGGCCCACAAGGGTTCCCAAAGTGATGAACAAATCAAAACCAATTAAAATAATACAGAGATAAAACATTTTTAAAAACCTCATTAAAACATTCTTTAAATCAAAACAACTAGAAGCAGTATAAAATCAATTGTATTATACAATTGTTTCCTAGGAAACTTCTAACTCCAATTCTACAAGAAGCTAAAAGGAAGGGGGTTTGCGAAACCAATTGCCATGACTCTGTTTTTCTTAAATCGTTGGCGTTACAGGAGGAAAAACTAGATATAAATTACTTAAATTCGAAAATAGGCACTACAGCCATTTTAAAATATTTGAAAGGCTGCCATATTTAAGAGGCAGCCAGCTTATTTTCTATTATTCTGTAGCAAGGCTCATCAAACTTTTAAAGCAGGGAGTCAATTCACGGTCCCTCAGACTGCTTGTGGGGTGCAGGGGGGACTACATTTTGGGAACCCCTGCTCCAGAAAATAGAACAAGGAGCAATGGGTGCAAACTACAAGAAAAGAGAGTCCACCTAAACTTTAGGAAGAATTTCTTGATGGTGAGAGCTGTTTTGATGGTGGTATACCCTGCCTCAAAGTATGTGGATTAGCCTTTTGTGGAAGTTTTTAAATAGGCTGGATGGTCATTTGTCAGCAGTGTTTTGATTGTATACTCCTGCATAGAAGACTGAATGTTGTTGTTGTTTATTCATTCAGTCTCTCCCGACTCTTTGTGACCTCATGGACAAGCCTACTCCAGAGTTCCCTGTCAGCCGTCACCACCCCCACCACCTTCAGAGTCAAGCCAGTCACTTCAAGGATACCATCCATCCATCTTGCCCTTGGTCAGCTCCTCTTTCTTTTTCCTTCCATTTTCCCCAGCAACACTGTCTTCTCTAAGCTCTCCTGTCTTCTCATGATGTGGCCAAAGTACTTCATCTTTGCCTCTAATATCCTTCCCTCCAATGAGCAGTTGGGCTTTATTTCCTGAAGTATGGACTGGTTGGATCTTCTTGTGGTCCATGGCACTTTCAGAATTTTCCTCCAGCACCACGGTTCAAAAGCATCTATCTTCCTTCGCTCTGCCTTCCTTATGGTCTCACATCTATAGGTTACTACAGGTAATACCATTGTTTTGACTATGTGGATCTTCATTGCCAGTGTTATGTCTCTACTCTTCACTATTTTATTGAGATTGGTCATTGCTCTCCTCCCAAGAAGTAAATGTCTTGTGATTTCCTGGTTGCAGTCTACATCTGCAGTAATCCTTGCACCTAGAAAAGTCTGTTGCTGCCTCCACGTTTTCTCTCTCTTTTAGCCAGTTATCAATCAGTCTTGTTACCATAATCTTGGTTTTTTATGTTTAACTGCAACCCAACTTTTGCACTTTCTTCTTTCACCTTGGTTAGAAAGCTCCTCAGCTCCTCCTCGCTTTTGGCCATCAAAGTGGTATCATCTGCATATCTAAGTTTGTTAATGTTTCATCCAGCAATTTTGGTTTTTTCTAATTTTATGATTCTAAGCACACATGCATAAGCTAAGAAGCCATCCTTTCTCACACAAGTAAAATAAGGAAATTTTATGCACTTAATTATTTGTGCTAGTTATAGTTGCTGATTAATAAAATAGTTTATGGTAATTGATCAGCCATCAATAACATGTGAACTGTGATAGGCACACTGATACAGAAAGTAATACCTGAATTATCTTGATAACTACCTGAAAACTGTCACAGAACTCAGACTGTCACCTTGTGATCTTCTTTCCATCCCCTTATCTGGAAATAATCTAAGTTTCCAAACAGAGGTTTCTTGTCGGGGTTCTGCCTTGTATTCTTTTTCACTTTCAATTTGTTATGATGTGTGTCCCAAGGCAATGATTTCCCCTTCAAGTTGAAGCAGACTTCCTAGTTATTTTAAACGCATCACCCTTCAACTCATTTGTTTCCTGGATGGGTTTGGCAGAGCTCACAAAATGTTAGGTTTCCAGGAAGTATCTCCTCATTAGGTGGAAGATAACATCACAGAGTGTATT